TTAATAGATGCAGAGTGGACAGACAATAACAGCCACCTCCTTTCCTCATATTTATTCCGACAATTTAAACAATGGTTAAGGGCATGACAGTTTCTCACAAAAATCACTGAATCACAGAATCACAGAATGGCCTGGGTTGAAAAAGGAGCACAATGCTCATCCAGTTCCAACCCCCTGCTGTGTGCAGGTCGCCAACCATCAGACCAGGCTGCCCAGAGCCACATCCAGCCTGGCCTTGAATGCCTCTACGGATGGGGCATCCACAGCCTCCTTGGGCAACCTGTTCCAGTAATGTCCTCCATGCTCATCTTCTAGTGAAATTTAATATGCATGACAATAAAAAAATAAAATAAATGAGTTGGGAAATAAATATCATCAGTATTTTAAGATGTTATATAAAAACATAATCATTTCTGTTCCAGATAAAAATTTGAAAATCAATTTTGTGCACTGCAAGCCCAAGCTAATGGCTAGATACCAATACAAATTATTTTGATAAAATGCTAATAGTAGCTCAGCTCACAGCATAGGGTTGCAGTCCAGGTACAAAGACCTCTGGATGAGCAAGTTGCTTACTACGATAACAGAAAGCTTGCCAACACTTGCCTTCAAATGCTGCTGTCATGCTGTGCACACCATACTTTGGGCAGTTTAATTCACCAGTGCAATGAAATGGTGAATTCTTTCTGTCACTGTGTGCACAAGCTCTCCAAGGACACTATGTGACCAAGTGAATGGAACTGTATTAGGAACTGCTGGTATATATAGAAAAAGGAAGGGGGGGAATAAAAAATTGAACAACATTCTCTAAACTGTACAGTTTCCACGTGCCAATACATGCAGGAACCAACTTAGGAAATGTTTCTCTGCATTGGAGAGCAGAGCAGAAACTACCCAACACTTCAATGCAGCAGCCTTGGCTGTTTTTCTTCAGGAAAGTCAATCAACTGCGCTCTCCAGCTGCCTGTATGGTGGCAGAGAGAAAACCATGGCTGCACTGTCCTGGCTTCCCCTTGGTGCTGCAATCTAGTTTACAATAGCATTGTGGGGCTTCTTCCGTCTCTCTGTAAAAACTTTCATTCCATTTTCTACGTTCCTCAAAATCTATTTCATATTTGTCAATACAAAAACGTAACTACGCTGTAATCAAAGTGGGTTATGGAGAAAGTACGTGCACACACTGACATCTCAGTCATTGCCACCTGTCAGAAATATAGCTTTTTTTTTTTTTGTCTAGAAATGATTTAAGCAACAGGAGGATTTCCCATGAAGAAAAAGTGTTCATAACACCTACGAGGCACACGAAAAAAGAGAAAAGTAACGTTATAATTGAGAAAAATGTAATTTTGCTTTCTCATAGGAGATGACTTTGAGGTAAGATGACAAGAACTTCTAACATAAAGCATCCTGTTCATGGAAATATTTCATATTATACATATACATGCTGCTATTGTATTTTAAAAGGCAGAACTCTTGATATGATTAAGCGATTTGTTTCCTGTTAATTTAGGAATCACCATAAACAGCTTTTCACATTTATTTTCCACTGATGTGTTAAACTTTCAGAATAGCTAATTTTTGCTTACATCTTTGAAAAAAAAAAAAAAAAATCTATGTTCTTACAGCTGCTGTGAGGCTGACCTAGTAAAGAAATCTACCAGTGTGCCACAGGAGGAGTCTCCAGGTCTCAGTTTAAGTGTGAGTGCAAGTCAAAGCATATGTACAGAAAGGCACCTGCATCTCTGTATGAATGCAGCAGCCAGAAACACATACCATAACCTGTGGCACAGCAGCATGTGAGTGATCTGGTGTCGATAGGGGTCAGTCTTGAAACCCAAGACAGAAGGATCACCTCTGCTGAACTTTGCAAATTGTCTGCACAATGATTCATGGGCTATTTAAAAATCCTCCTTTTCAAGCAAGTTCTGATGGGTTTCTTCCTTTTCTTTTCCTTTCTTTCTTTTTTCTCTTTTGTCATCAGCTGCCTTCACCAGATGACCTGCCATAACCCTGCTTACAAAAACAAGTGAAGAGAAGTACACGGCCTTGGTTTGTGGAGTGTATTTTATAAAGACACGTTAGAGAAAAGAACACCAAATTTGTGAGGGAAATGAATCAGACTTTGAAAAAACAGCTCTAAGCAACACAGTTCGCTTCCCAGCAAATTCAGGCTTAATGCTCATGAATTATTAAGTTACTTCCTTGGCTAGAAGCCAAGGGGGAGGATTACAGAGCTTACAGTAAGACTGTTACTGCAAACACTCTTTTCTGTTTCCATGGAAACAGAAATTAGTTAAAATAACTACCTGCCATTTCGCTCACCATACTCAAGGAAAAACGACCCAATGTTACAAAGGTTATTAAAGCTAGCAGGAGAAATGTAGCTAAGTACCAATTACACTCTCTGTGGGCTCCCATGCCTCTGCCACACCAAACAGCTAATGCTGCATTAGAGTTCATTTTGTTATTGACACCATGGAAAGCAGATATTTATGTTCCTGAAAGGAATCCTCTCCATTAGCTACAAAAAAAAACCCAACACCTATGTCTAAAAAAAAAGACGTTAGTCATATGGTGTGATTCCTTGGTCCCTGCTAGTGATCTTGATTGTGACTGAAGATAGGCAGGCCAGACCCACCTGCCAGTTGGTAGGTATGAAATGCTTGAGCAGAACTGCAGGGTAGAGTTCTCAATCTGGACTACAAGTATTTTACGCAGTATTCTCCCAGAGCCTACAACTTGGGAAAATCTAATTTAACGGAGTAAGTTTGGAGGTCTAATTCAGAGATCAGCTCATTTCACTCTTGCACAGCAACATCATGACAGAGACAAAGACCTGCTTGTTAACAACATGCGCCCTACTACCTTTGACAGCAAAAGCTTTCCTAGCGCTACATGTTCATGGTAGGCTTTTGTTCTTCCTGAGCATTAAAAGGGAAGAAAAACTTAAAAAAACAACAACAACAACAAAAAAAAAAACCAAAAACAAAACTAAAAAAAACCCAAAGCAGATTCAGTTCTGTTAAAAAAACAGATCACCCTTGAAGAAAAACCTGCATCCCTGAAGACTGCTATGTGATACTGTTAACCTGAAAGGATTTCTATGGGAAAAGCGGCAGTGCTGAGGAGAGATTACATGTGACTGATTTTAGTAAAACAAACCCTTTTAAGATGGATTCATATTAGAAATGTTATAGGACAGAATGTACCTCACTAAAACCACATACCTCCTTACACAGCTTTCATATACAAATATGCAGACAACAACAGTTTCTTTAAAATAACCAAAATTAACAAGAAAAACAATAAATGGGGAAATCAAGTAAATGCAAGGACTAACACACAGCACAGATCTTGTTCACTGTGCATTGCAGTCAGTGGAATCAGGTAAACAAACAGAAAACTCTGCCTTCCAGACCTTGCCATGGAATACAGCTGTCCATCTGGATCCGTTCATCACATAAACTCTGTGCAAGGCAATATTATATTTACCTCACACCAAGGCAAGGACTTCTCAGGTGTTTGGAAAAAAAAGCACAAGGAGTAGAAGCAGCAATCAGATATACCTGTTGAGTGTTTTGGCTCATTTATGCGTTAAGTTCAAAAACCAAACAAATCAATCCTAACTCACGGTGACTGAAAATGGGAATTTCAGGTTTGCATCACTTCCTCCCAATTAATCCAATCGCTTTGTGCTAAGTGGGAAAATGCTGCTTGCACTAGGGGATTTCAACCACCTGGGTGTCTGCTGGCAGAGCGGCATGGCGGATGGCAGACAATCCAGGAGATGCCTGGAGTCAGTTGAGGACAACTTCCTGGTCCAGGTAACAGATGGACCAAACCGAGGTGAAGCCTTACTGGACCTGGTGCTCACCAATGCAGATGAGGGCATTAGAGAAGTTAAGATTGGAGGCAGCCTGGGCTGCAGTGACCATGACTTGGTGGAGTTTGTGATCTGGATGAATGCACACCTGGCAAGAAGCAGAATCAGGACCCTGAGCTTCAGGAGAGCAAACTTCTGTCTGCTCAAGGAACTGCTGAGTGGGATCCCCTGGGAAACTGTCCTTAGGGATATGGGTACAGAACAGAGCTGGCAGCTCTTTAAGGACACCCCTCAAAGAGCCCAACAGCTCTCCACCCCCCAGAAGAAGTCAAGCAGGGGAGGCAGGCGGCTGACATGGCTGTGCAAGGACTTGCAGCTAAAACTGAGGGAAAAGAGAGAAATGGACAGAAAGTGGAAGCAGGGCTGTGTAGCCCTGTAGGGACGAATACAGGGCTGTTGTTCGTGTGTATAGAGATAGGATTAGGAAAGCCAAGGTGCAGGTAGAGCTGAACTTGGTGAGGGACGTGAAAGATAACAAGAAGGGGTTCTAAAGGCACACGGGCAGGAGGAGACACGCGAAGGAGAGTGTTCCCCCTCTGATGAAAGGTAATGGGTTCATTATGATTCATTTGTAAGGCTGTAACACCTGCATCATTTCAAATGTCTTTTGCGTGTATGTGTGTCAAATGAACTCTCAAAACTTAGGTGTTATTTTAGAAAGCTATGCCTAATGACCCAGTGTCACTTCGAATATTCAGATTTATATTCCCACCATCCGGTTTGCAAGGCCTAAAAATGCCATTCATACGCTTCAGAAATACCTGGGGTGGTCACAAGGACAATAGCCTGGGTTACTGTTCTTGCAGCTGCCACAAGCTTCACCTGCTCCAGGTGACAATGACTGATAGTCACATTGCACTGCCAGTACCTGTCTGTGTTAGGCTCAGCATTAGACACAAAATGCCTCAGTTGCTCTTGCAAATTGGCTTCATATGCCTGTTCACAAGATGAATTCACCCATCAGCAGAAGATAACGTAACTTCAGTTCAAATACAGTGTATCAACTTTTCTTAACTTATATGAAGTTCAAATATAACATGTTAACTTTTTTCACTTATACGAAGTGCAAGTACAGCGTATCAACTCTCATTAACTTATACGAAGTTCAAATACCTACCTATGTCTACATAAGCAAACTTCCCCTAATCAGTAACTCCCTAGAAATATCTAGACATAAACCCTCCAACCATTGCATTGCTCTGCAGCAGAACTGCACCAACGATGAACTGCTCCAAGATTTCCCTTCCAGCTGCTCAGTTGTGCAGGTGAGTCAGTGGCAGTTTCTCTTGGCTGGAAGAGTCCCACCAGCCACAGCAATTCCTCTCATTTCGCCCCTGGAATTCAGTCTGCCTCCGCAGACTGCAAAAGAGGGTCCTCCCTTCCTGGCTTTCATTTTCTCCTCTTCATTCTCATTCGCCTTGCTCTTATATACAGCCTTGGACATGTTGCAGGAGGTTGTAAAAGAAGGTTGTCGTCTTCCCGGCACACTTTTCTCTTTTGCATCAGCAGCACATTCTCATCCAGCCTCAGACGTTTCCTTGCAGGTTGTGAAAGAAGGCTGTCGTCGTCTGGGCTTACTTTTGCTCCTCAGCCTCACAGCTTCCTGCAGCCTCAGACATTTCATTGGAGGGTGCGGAAGAAGGATGTCATCATCTGGGCTTAATTTTCTCTTTTGCCTTAGCCTCGCGGTTTCATCCAGCCTCTGACATTTTGCAGGAGGCTCCAGTTGAGGCAGGACTTTCTTGCTTTTCTCTTGCTGGGGAGCTCAAGCACAGGCATCCTTCAAGGCTTACCAGCACAACTCCCAACGGCCAGCAGGCCTGAAGCTTTACTGCGTGTGTTGTGTTCCAAGAACCCATGGCAACGGATGGCGTGATCTCCTGACATCATCACCTGCTGGCTGTGACCGTTCAGGCACTTCTCAGAGCATCCCGCCGCCTGCTCCTCCACTCCAAACTCCAGCAGCTTCTCTAGGAGGAGCCAATGGCTAACAGTGCTGCAAGTGCTCCTCAGGAGCAGGTAGACATAGCTGTGCACTGCTCTCTCCTGAACCAGCAGCCATTCTCCAGCGTGGCTCTCAGCCAGCTCTCTCCGCACTCCAATGGGAACCTCATCATCAGAGCCCACGTGCTTCTCTCCATCCTCTGTCTCAACTGGTGCCTGACACATGGATTGAGTTTACATGCTAAGGTTTTGCTGCACAGCTGTCCTCTGGGAGAAGCAGTAGCTTAGGGAGCAGCGGCGCCAAAGAAAAGCAAAACATGTGCCACAATACCTTCACACCAAGAAGGCACCGTGTCTATACAGGCTGCACAAAACACAGCCTTCAAAACGGTGCCTAAGAACACTGCAACAGCACCTGAACGCAGCACAGGGCTTGTACACACTGCAGCGCTTTCATCTGGACAGGCACAGAACAAAACAGCTAAAAAGAAATCCAAAGCAGCAATATTCCTCTCAACGCCATTGCACAAACTAGCATTAGGAATGCACAAGTAGTCTTCTCCTCTTTGATTTGGAACTGCGGGAATCCTTGAACGCCCCAATGAAGCAACTTGGAAAGTTCCCCTTTGCAGCGTTAACGCAAGGAATCTTTGAATGCAACCATAAAGAGACCCACATTCCTAGCACGTGGGAAATTTCCCACCAACTTCACTTGAGATACAAAGGATACATCTCCAGCCATCTGTGGATTCGCGTGAGAAAGTTCCTACGTCTTCCATAAACCATTTCAAACACTTTACAACAAAGAAAGAAATCAGTGACAGCACACGTCATGCCACACCTTTCCTCCAATAGGAAGCTATTGGTAGCAGAACACTTGCCATTTCCTTCCTTACTGCTCCCTGCTCCATGTCCTAACAGCTGTGCAACAACTGGGAAATACAAACAAAAGCGGCCCCCTGTACGTGTGCAGTACACTTCAGAGCCACAGATTTTTCACACCGATTAGGGTTGCTGTAGCTAATGACCAGAACGATGGCTACTGCTGTGGGTATGTACTTCCTTGATGTGGAAATACTCTCATGTTTGCTTACTGGATCACCTTTTTAAGTTCAGTTTGAGCAGAACCAAGAACAAATAACCTCCTTGCTACCATGGATCACCACAGCACAGAAGACAGAAAATTCAGCTACTGACAAAAAACAGTGAATTGTTGAACTTTCTGTTCAGTTAAACCGAGAGTTCGCATGAAAAACTCACCAACGCCATCACCACTGCAGGAAAGTCCATTTGGCCCTTTCATTTTGAAGCACCATGCAGGAGCTCTGCTTAGTTTTCACCTAAATGCACTAGTTCCTGAGGCACACAGAAAAGAGACTTCATCTTCTACAGCAGACCTAAACACATCACTCTCAACTTAAAGCAGAGTGTTTCTTCCCTGCTTTCAAGTTTCTTTCCCAAAACAGACCTTAATCTCATTACAACTCCTTCCTTCCCCTCTTACGGGACGTAAAACAAAATACAAATTAGCTTGCTTTCACTACAGCAGATGCGTAAGACCAAGTGCTAAGCAGTAACAATTTGCACATCCAAGCATTTTTCTACACATTAAAACTCGCTGAGCCACATGTCCTCACTCTTACTTTCTCTTCTTTTCAGTTACTGGCAAGAAGCCTTCTCAAGGCCTTCCCACTCCACGCTAATACACTATGCAAAGTCCAGCCCAAGACAAGTACTCTGTAGAAACATTTTCTGAGGCCTTCCACAGTCACAGCAGCAGTTTGTCAATTTCTCTTTCCTGCAGCTTTCCTCAGTTCAATAATTTTACTGCGTTGTGGTGTTAAATAATTGTGGCTTGTTTTATTTGCCTTTTTTTTTCTTTCCTCCGTTGCACGTATTTCCTGTTAATTCTCTTACATAGGAATCACAGATATGTGCTCACTACCAGTACAAGCATTTCTCAGGCAGTGGTGGTGAACGTGATGTACTATCACGGTAGACATTCTTGCCACATTCTGCAAAATAATTCTTACGTGCCAAATCAAATGGTGCAGACACATTCCTAAGATATATCAAGTCATTACAGCTTTCTACGATATCGCAGTTTTTTTGAGTGGGATTTAGTGTGAAAGGCTACCAAGCCTTTACCATTCTGCTCTGAGCTCCCCCTGGACAGCACAGTGTTCTCCCAGAGAAAGAAAAGAAGGCTTGGGGACTCTTCCCTCAATTCAGAGGGAAATATTTGCTGAAATATGTAGGACAGTTTCCATCACAGTATCAGAAGTGGTGTCAGCCGTCAGGATGGGCTTCAATTAAAGCTCACAAAAAAGCCAGAGATGCTGTACTTTAGATCCAACCACGCTATCCTTACTTCATTTCCAAGACATGCAGCATATACTGCAATACTATACAGTCTGATATTTTCAAAACACACACTTTTGACTGAAAAATGCAGATCATTTCATATTTGCTGACATCAGTATCAGCTACCTCAACATACAGAGCAGCAGTTACCCAGACTAGACACAAGGATGAACAGAAATATGCCAGTTGATATTACTAGTAAAGGAGTGATGAGAACAAGCTCTATTGTAACATGCCTGTAAAGCAAGGAGTGGATGATAGCTTGAGAGCCCAATTCAGCACCGAAACATATAACAGTCCTTTTCTGGAGTCATACAGCATGACACTGCAAATATTGATAGCTCTTAACAGCCCTAAGAAAACAGCTACTAAAACATTAAGACCTTCAGTAACACATGGAGACCAGGTGAGAAGCTTAAACATAATTCAACCGTTCTGGGTCTGTAATACTTTGGTTATTTACAAGAACCAAATTTCATAAATAATGTTTAGCGTTACTGAATTCTTGGATGCCTTATAGGACTATTAATTCCTAATTTATCTGTGTTCTTTCAGTTGTGTCACAATGGCATTTCATATGCTTTCCTCCAATAACACACGCTTTCCTCACATGTTTTTCTGAGAACATTTTAGTTATGTATTAAGTCCTACCTAATCTGCTTGCCTTCTCGAACATCATATAAAGAAAAAAAGACATCAGTGTCTTCTCCAATTGTATTGTAGGTGAAACTCTTCAGACTGAGGAAGAAGTGATGAGGCAGTGGCATACGACAAGCATCTCCGTGACGCTGACGAATTGTATCCACCTGATCAAACAACAGAAGCCACTTGTCACAAATAAAGGACATATGATTGACTTGATAATTTCAACTGAAACTTAGCTCTCTTTTCTCTATCAAATAAAGCTTAATCTCAAATATACCCCATCTTCAAGACAGATCACAAAGTTTTTATCCTATTTTTTTACACTGGATGAACTTCTACTCAAGTATGTAAGAGTAACATTTAAATTGTTGGTTGTTTTTTTTTTTTTTAGCACCTGCAAGTCATTTATGGAGATCATTTAGAACCAGACTTTACAAGCTAACTGCCCTGCAGATATAAGAAAGAAATCCCAATGTTAGTTGGTAACATGAGCAATCTATAAAGTGAAGCAGCAGAAAGGTTTGTATTTTTGACTTAATATATCCAGACCTATTTACAACAGTGAAAACTGTAGTGAAGAACAAGAATATAATTACAAACAATTTTTCTTTTATTATCATAGCACTTTATTTCTGTTGTACCCTAATGTTAACAAATACGATGCATGTCAGACCTAAGCACACCAGGGTCAGTCTCCTCTGAATATGCAGACACCAACAAAGTCAGAAACTATATTTTCATAGTTTCAACTCAGATTTGTAGTAGCTTCCAAAATGCAGCTTCAAACAATTTTTGTTCTGGATTCTGAATTAAATCCAACTAAATCCTCATCCTTTAAAGATTTGCACCTGGGCAAGCATAGCTCTCTAAGAAAGATTAGCTCCAGATTTCATGACCAAGAAAGGATTACATAACTACAGAAAGGGTATATAAAATAAAAACCTCTGAGGTTATGTGTTAGCAGGTAGAAAGAAAACTCACATGGGCAGACTGAGGCTTTTGATCTCACTAGAGAACTTGTTCTCTTAAGAAAAACAGAGAGCTGAGGAAAAGAGCCTAAGCAGATGTTGAAGGACCTGTAGAAGAAGCTAAACTACTTTTGAGGCTATTTTAAGGAACCTGAATACCCAATGATCTCCATCAAACACATATATGCAGATATGGTATTAAAGACAGAAACAGCAAAAATTGTTATGTAGATGATGTTTACCTGTGATGTGCTCTGCTGGACGCTGTGTCTACTTGACAAATGCTGTGGAGAAACAGAATATTAAAAGTGAAACTGTACTGAATGTGAGAAAATACTGAAACTACATTTGTGTTGCATTAGAAGAGTATTCTGTAAACACGATTGCTCAAGATTGTTACCAAACATCATGACATGACTCACAAGACCACTAGCTTGCCTTAAAAGCTTTTCCCAACTAAGTCATTTGTTAGATTAACTAATCAAACTTACAGGTTGTATGTACCCAAAGGTTGAACATAAACAGCCTTCACAAGAGAGAATTTCCACAGCTGCAATACTACTTCTTGAGAAGTCCATCACCCTGTACTGTGTAATCTGCATTTTTCTTTTAAATGAGTGAATACCTCACTTATTATTCATTTATCAGTATGCTGGTCCACAAGAAGCTGCATTTGTTAATAAATAAATAAAATAAAATGAAAAAGGAACAATACTGACTTAAAGAAAGAAGGGTGAATTTTGAACATATATTTTAAAACGTTTTGCTTAGATTAGGAAATGAGATCCTGAAAAACAGGTAAGAACTCTTCTACAATTTCAGCTGTCCAACATCCGCACAAAAGCATCCATGCAGAGCTACATCCGTGCAACAGAACTCAGAGGATGATCCTGTATTTAAAGCCCTCCATACTAAAAGGAAATGTTATAATCAGAAAATGGACTGTAAGTCTCACTGAACACATTTAATCTCCAAATGGAGATTTAAATACTAATCTAAAATGAAAAGGTTTCAGAGAGCTTTAAAAACCATATAATTAATGATTCTGCCATGCCACACGTATCCATCCTACCGTTAGTACTTTACACTGAAACATTAACACATCTTCTCTTCATTCTCCCCCATCTCTACCCTTCTATTTCATACCCTATATCTTATTCTGAACAAATACACTCTAGCAGGACCAGTGGGATCTGATAACCTCACAGCTTCAAGAGAGATGAAAGTAAAAGATATTCCACCAACTGTATTCAGCAACACTTTCCCCAAACAAATCAAATGCACGACATTTTTAAATGAAAATTTTACCAAGGGAAATAATAACTTTGTGGAAGATGCTTCGATTTCTTGCCACAGATGGGAAAGCCTAGAGTTACTTCATCCATTTTCCTGTTAATACGAGACTGTTTCCTCTGGTACATTTAATGCTCTACAATTCTGTGAAAATGCAAAAGTAATTGGGTTCTCACAACTATTCTCACAAGATTATTTTGCAGTGTTAAACCTCACAGCTGATTTGATAATCTGTTAAGTATTCTACCATGAGTATAGAGGATTCTAGCCATGAGGAAAAAAGAATACAATAAAAAGCAATTTTAAAAATCTTCAGTTGCTACAAAACTAAACTTAAGCAAATAAAAGATGTTCAGCTGTTTTGGTTCCAAAAATTACCTTCTGTCCACTTAGTAGATGTGATTAGATAGTGCTGTCTTCTTGAATCTACAAACTAAAGCCATGGTGAAACGTGAACTGACTAACGGTCATGTCCTGAAAAGCAGCACAGATCTGAGCCGAAAACTCTGCATGAAGGAAAACTCTCTAGTAATAGCAGCAAAGTCTCCTCAGTCTATGGCAAATCAGGAACAAACTTAAAAATCAGTACTGTAGATCAGCATATTTTGTCCTTTTTTATGGAAAAGACTTTAATTTCTTTACATGACATGCACTGTTATATTATATAATTAATCCAAAAGAACATTCCTATTAAAGGACATCACATACGTTTCTAAGGGACATTGCCACATCACAGAGATAGCTTTAACGTTCAAGAATTAGTTTTGCTTAAAGAAAGTTATTCAGCAGTCTCTCTCCTTCCTGTCTGTGCACTTAAAATTTTTGAAAGGGAGCAAGCATGCTTATTATCCGTGCACATCCTAGGAGCAGATTTTTCACCTCAATTTTTATCCCTATCTGCAGACTCTCCTGAAAGAATCAAACAATGGCTCTCAAGGGCTTTCTGGACTCACACAACTGCTGATCAACTCCAGGTTTAAGATGTTTTAATTAATGGAAGTAAGGACAAACAACACTAGATCTTACAGTGAGGAACATTCCTATTTCTCCTAGCAAGTTAATAACTGTTGTTCGAAGTAATGATGTAGTAACCCCAAAGATTTCTTTACTGTATGTCAATCCAAAGCTTGAAGGGTCACCTGTCTGGTTCACAGCACTTTCAGATGAAAAGACATCAGCAAGATACCACTACAATTTAACTATGGAGCTTCCAAGACTTTGCATTTCCCACCGGACAGAATTCAGCAGTATAGCTACCAAAGGCAGCTGTTAAATTGCATCAAAAAACAAAAAGGTTACTATATTATTTCAGTCAAGAAAATTCATAAAGAAAGATACTTATTTTCCCCTTCTTTCCCTCCCAGTATGAAAGCTCAGAGACATCTCCCACAGATTTCTTACCATTTTATAAAGATCTGACACACTGATCTGATCAGAATCCACAACTTCAAAGTCCTTTCGAGGAACTAAATCTAGGCCCAAATGTCTGCAGAAGAAAAAGAAGAACAACGGTAAGCATAGTACATTGTGTCTACAATTATCAGCCACATATACTTACTCAAGGACAAGGACAAAGGAACTACCAAATTGTATTTGAATCTTTCTGCAATAGTTAACCATTAAACAGACAATCTTTTAAAATAAATTTAAATGTAAATATCAAGCCAAAAAGTGCTCTGTGCTTGTTATGTTCTATTCACTGGTTTCAGAGGAGCTCTAATAATCAATGTTATTGAAGATTTTCAGTATGTTGGTGCAGTATGGTCATTTCTTACACAGTAATACAGTAGCCAAATAAGTTTAGTACAATCAGTAGGTAAATAAGTTTAGTATAAATAGTGCAGTATTCAGGTCGGGTTCTTCACTATGTAATGCAAAACTTTCCCATCACTAACCCTGATATGTGCTTTGGGAAGCTGCTTTGAAAGGAACTCCTGGTGCTCATGTAACTGAACTCCCAACTTTATCACTGTATAAGCATACTTTTCCTAAAAAACCATAATACAAATATATTAACAGGAATTTTAACCTAAATTAAAACAGGATTTTAGCTCAAATCAAAACCAAACTATAAAAAAAAAAATAAAAGGCTACCAGGGTAAAAATGATGGCTACAGCAGAGATTATTTTTTGCTCTACAGTCGCTCAGCTTCTGAGGCATAAGGCACTCACACAATTACAGTATGAAGCAATTATGCACATTAGGAAAAAAATTCAAGAAACACATAAATGAACCATTTCCCTGCTTTCATCTTACATAACTTTGATATTCCACTTGCACATGTTTTAAATTGAAATTCTTCCTAGTCTCAAAGAACAAAAAAGTCAGTAGAGGTGTCCTCATGGAGCACCCTTTCACTCATGCAACCAACTAGACAACAAAAACGATATCCTATTCGTTTTAATCAGAGAAACATTCGGCACAGCATTTTTCCTGATGGCAAATATGAATTTTTATTTGAAAAAACTTCTCTCAGGTACCACAGAATAGTTTTGTATGGTGTGATAAACAGAAGCCTCCAGGCAATCCAGCATCTCTTCCTGAGCAATTAACTTAAAACATCTGCAAGTAAGAGGCAGTGGTTTGTAAGAAGCCTAGATGCCTTCACTGACCACTGTACGTAATAATTTCCCTTAAGTTTCCCAACTCCCTATTTTTAAAATTAATTGATTCATTTAAACTCTACTTAATCAGTCTTTCCTTACTTAA